GCATCTCACACCAGCCACAGTACATTTGAAAGGTACAGTCGCCAAATATGCAACCACGGTTAATGAGCCATAAGTAGAGTGGGCCTCCCATCACCAAACAGAGGTCACCACTTCCCAATCTGCTTGATATGCGCCAGCTTTTTATTTGGCAAGCGTTTATAATGCATTGTTTTGCACGGACCCCCAAAAAAGTCAGAGGTCAGTGTGCTTGGAATCCACTTTATGTGTCCGCCAGATACTTTGACTCTTTTAACTGTCGACTAGATTTATAATGGTGCAGCTAAAGTGCATCAAAACCAAACATAGCAGTCATGGAACTAAATGTGCCACAGTTTGACAGCTAAACACACTGTGTCTTCATTCAACATACAATCGATGTGATTCATGTCTTAGGTTGGTATAGCATACTGATACTCGCATTAGATCCATCATGCATGAAGAGGTAGTGGCTGTATGTTTTCTGTAATGGTCTCATCCTCCCATCCTCAGGATGCCTGGCTATGCTCTCTTGGTGGGGGTGTCGAAGAGTCTGTGACTGAGCAGCTGGGAGAGCTGATCTCATTAGTGGGCTGACGGGAGGACTGCTGAGCTGGGCATTCCTCCGTGGCAGCAGCGGAGGAGATGTACAGCTTTCATTGAGTAGAAAAATGTAGAAATAAACTGGGGCAACAGAAGAAGCTCTAGGAGAAAGAAAATAAGCAGCAGTGTTCAAGGCTCTAAGAACATGAATTACCAAATGGAAAAGAAAGAGTAACCCAACAGGATGACATGGAATTTAACTTTGTGTCTCTGAACCGCTGCTATTTTTAACTTTTTGGCATGTACGCTAAATTTGGATTCAGATAACGACAGGAAAAGAGGTAGAAGGTGGAGAAAAAAAGCATCAATCACACCTCGAGAACAGCCTCCTTATCCAGCGGATAAGGACTTGCTACTACGTTCTGTGTGTGTGTGTGTGTGTGTGTGTGTGTGTGTGTGTTAGATATCATCCTCTTCTCAGATCGGTATCTGTCGTTGGGATCAAAGGGGAGACAGGGCAGACAGGCTGATTGCGTTAAGATCGACAGTAATTGTGAAGGAGGACAGTAAAGCCATCACTATGAATGTCATTGAGCTGCTGCTCAACACATTCACTGAAAGGGGTTTTCCGTTTTCTCTTTGCTGAATTATTTACCAATACCAAACCAACACCAACATTACATACCGAGATTAAAAGTCCATTCTTGACATCGGGAACGATACAAAACGATGCCACCACAAGGTCCACTTTGCAGCGATTCTGGAGCTTTCCATCGTATCACATGATCTTCATCCGAATGTGTTGTAACTCTGTAATGTTGTTCATTCTGTACACATCTATTGCACTTCTGTCCATCCTGATAGAGGGATCCCTCCTCTGTTGCTCTTCCTAAGGTTTGATCCTCTTTTCTCCCTGTTAAAGGGTTTCTGGCAGGGGAGTTCTTCCTGTTCCGATGTGAGGGTCCTGGGACAGAGGATGTCGCATGTGAACAGATTGTAAAGCCCACTGAGGCTAATTTGTGATTGGTGATTTTGGGCTATACAAAATAAACTGAATTGAATTGAATTGAATCCGCCCATGGAGTTTGCCCAACTGTGGGGGGGATTGTACTATTTAGAAGATTTTTCCATATATTGCAGCATTTTATGCTCATCCATGTTGCTATAGATCGAGTTGAGATTGACACTTATTGTAAGTCGCTTTGGATAAAAGCGTCTGCTAAATGACTGTAATGTAATGTAATGTAATGTAATGACAGCAAATGACAAAACAATCAACTTTGGACTTTTTCTTCAACATCTAAAGTAAGACTGTAACTTTCTAAAGAAAGGAACAATTAGGGAAAATTTAATTCTTAAGCAAAAAAGATGCAATTGTCGATTCAATACATTCATGGGTGTTGCTGTTACAGCTCTATGTGGTCTGACCAGTGGCTGTTGTTTACTAATGTTAGCCGACTTTAGACAGATATTGCTCTGGAACAGACTTGACTCAGGACTCGTAAATGTTAGGAAAAAAAGAATACATTTAATTTAGCCAATTGTGGCCATATTTTAGCAAAAATGTCACATGCTGCCTTCAAACGGGGTTGTGTTTACCATGTTCACTAGAAGAGCCCCCCCCCCCCTCGTCATATTCATCACCTCGTAAGTGGGAATCTTCTGAAGTTCAGAGTTAACGAGTTGTGACGTGTTCGCTGACGTTTTCGGAAACGGCGGAGGCCATGGAAGGTCATTTTAAGGTGGAGGTAAATTGACGTATTGTAATTTTAGCTTATTATAGAGTTTTTATACTTTTATATACTTTTTCAATATGTCTAAGGGAAAATGTTTGTATTCCCTTTTTCTGTCGTTAGGCCTTTGCAATTCCTCGGTGGCTCCGTTCAAAGGCGGCAATAGTCTCGTTTGAAGATAACACAGTGCTCTTAAAAAAACGTGAAATGTACATCTACAAATCCATGACTAGGTAAACTATATTAGTAGCCTACGCATTTCATGGTAATGTAAGAAGTTATGCCTGTTTTTGAACTGTAATTTTGGGGGCTTTTTAGGTTTTGTGGAGCCTGTTGTTTCTTTCAGACTCTCTTCTTCATTATTTTGCTGTAAAATCGCTTTGGCAAGGTCTAAATTGGGCTTCCTTACAATGCCAGTGAAGCAGTTAAAGTAGAAGAACTGAAAAGGGGAAAACAGAGAGAAAATGTAGGCTGCACCAGTGCAGAGAGGAGAGAGAGAGAGAGAGAGAGAGAGAGAGAGAGAGAGAGAGAGACCCTGAGCGGGCATGACGGCTGTTGGAGCTCTGACAGGAAACTTTTCTTGTTGTTGCTCCGCTCCTCAGCTCCAGTCAGACTCCACCGCTTCAGCGACTGAAATGCACTTGACTGGATCTACTCATCCCGTGAAGTCATGGCTCTGCGTCTTCACTCACCGGCGGCGCGTCACTGAAGACCTCAGACAGTAACCGTGACACCTTTCCAGGACAAACTTCTGGAGCTAAACGACGTTTTTCTTTTTTTGCGTTTGACGCGAGGAGGATGGAGACGGGGGTTTACCTGCTCGCCTGCCTCTCGTTGGCCCGGGTTAGTTGGGGTCTCGGATATGCGGAGTCCGGTGTGCAGACGGGACAGAGAGCGGCCAGCAGACACAGGTAGGGTCGACGTGAACGGAGACACACGTGTGTGAATGTGTTGGTTGTGTTTGCGTCAGGAAAAAGAGCTGCAGTTCAAAACCTTTTAAAATGTAGCCTATGATGAACTGTGCTTCTATAGTGAGGTGCGGGAACGTTCAGGGGTCCTTTAGGGGCTTCCGGTGGGTCCCTCATAACAAAATGTGAAATAGTTCAGGGCTGAAACAACTGAGCGATTAATCTGATTGATTAATGTGGAGATTTGCTGTTTATTTAATTGTATATAATTATAGGTGTGTGTTTTGGACTGTGAGTGTGAGAACATGCAGGCTATTTGAATGGTCTTCGGTTCTGGAAAATTCTTCATCAAAACAATTAATTGATTAATCGAAAAAATATATATAATATCAAAATAATCTGTTTGCGCCACCCTAATGAGGGATTCACTGTAATAAATGATTAAATGAATAAAATAAATAAATAAAACATGATCTCACTCAAATAATAATTAAAAAAAGGATCATTTAAAAACTAGCACCAACAAAAACTCTCCCATATGGGGCAGACTGGGACAAAATCTTCTCAATATTGGGGTCATTTCCCTCATGAAAGTCTCTTCCTGAGACCATGATGTGTAAATATCGTCCCCTTCAGAAGCACACATCATGTTGATTGTTATTTTCAGAGGAAATGTCTTATTGGTGATTAGGTCTCTTACACTGCAGGGCCCCTCCCCGAATGGGTGGGTTGGGGAAGGGGTGTGTGCATGTGTGTGATGATGCAGGGGGGGGCGGCCCAGAGCTGGACAGGGTTTATAGGGATTATAGATATTTACTGTTTCAGGGCCCCCAAGTGAAAAGTGGTTCAGGGGGCCCGGTGTTTCTCGTTTGGAGGGGAATTCATCAGTTTGGCAAACAGGATGTCCCAGTCAGGTACTGGACTCTGGACGTCGTCAATCCAGAAGACTGACCGGCGTATAATCGTGGAGTTTCAAACTGAGCGATTCCGACTGCCGTCTAGTCCTATTTTATGGGGACAGTGGGGAAATCCTTCAGATCTCAGAGACGCTTGACTCAGAGACGCTTGAACGGTCGCTTGTAAATCAGTGATGGCTGTTGGAGTCCCTGCTCGTAAAGTTGTTAATACCGTCAGTGGGCCGTTTTTATGCTGCTGCTGCTGCTGCCCCCATAGTGCGTTATTAGCATGTCATTGAGCTCCTGCCCGAGGGCCCCGTGTGTGGACGACCCCCCTCACCTCTGCGGACAGATGTGCGACTTGTTTGTTGTGCGGGGTGGTTTCAGCTACACCGATTGACTGAGAGCGTAGGTGTGTGTGTCTGTGTGTGCACGAATAAAAGGGTGAGGGAGTGAATGAAGTCCATCCCTCACATGTGGTACGTGTCTGCCTGCATGTGTTTGTATTTAACGTGTGTGTGTGTATGTGAGCATGAGAGGGTGGCCAGGCTACTGGGAGTTGAGCTGCTGTAATAGCTTCTATCAGGTTTCTCTCCACATCAGAGCGCAGTGTGCTGCTGCTGCAGCTGCTGGGGCGGCCTGAGTGCTGAGACATGGATGGTTGGCCTCTTTGGTGTATGATGAAGCTGAGCCGTTGGCTACTGGGAGTGAGAGAAAGGGGGGGGGGGGGACAGAGAAAGAGTGAGAAACAGGGGAAAAAGATTGATTGACAAAGTGGAAATATGTGCTAAAATGTCAAGAGGTGGAGGTAGGTGATTATGAGGGGGGAAAGATAAAGCATTGGATCGACAGGGTGAGATAAGTGAGAAGCAAACAAGAGGACTAGAAGAAAAGAAAAGAGAGAACCGAGCAGGCGTGACAAGAGAGGATGAAAGAGTGCGAAAAGGAGGGGAGGAGCAACAGGACAGGAGAAAAGACAGACTGACAGTAGAAGAGAAGATCGGGCCCGGGTCCTCAATCGGCCTTCCCCCTTTTCTGAACCCAGCAGGCTACGAAAGAGTCAGCATGGCTGTCCTGTGACGTACACACACACACATGCAAACCACACACACACACAAAGTGACGCATCGGGGGGGAAGAATGCGCTGGCCCGTGGCAATGCGGTTTGCCCCTCTGACACCCATTTGAACTCCATTGATCTGTTTTGACAGATGTGCGAAGTACTCCATATGCAATAAAGGCTGTCAGATGAACTGAAGGCATCCAGCGAGGGGTCTCATGCGGGGCTTCAGGACGAGGACCCCCGGCCGTCCGACACATCTCCTGCCAAAAAATGTCAGAGGCAACACGTCATCCCGCCGGCTCCAGAAAGCAACGGAGGAAGAGTGACGGGTCTGAGTGTAGGTGGACTGCTGATCTGTTTAGGCTCACGTACGGTTTGGAGGACATCGCCACTGGAGGGTAGCTAGAAGCAGATACATTAATCATACTTACAGTCCACTTATTTCCTTACGTTGGCATCAGGGTGCTCCATAAAGACAGACAAATGGGCACACTTAAAATAACCGGTTTTTATGGCCTTCTGCTTTGTGGATTGTGGCAGGAAAATCAGAAGAGCCAAAGGGACAAACACTTTGTTCTGGGGCCATTAGCCAATAACACTGCATGCCAAGCTAAGTTCAGGTTTTCATGATTTGGGCCGGGGCTTAGTTCCATGAATGAATCCTTTATGCTATAGCATAATCTCAAATACTAGTGTCCTTTCAAGTTTGTGGTGCCAGTTTGGGCAAGACCTTTTCCTGTCTCAGTGTGACGATGTCCCTGTGCAGAAAGCCGGGCCCAAACAGAAAGGGTTTCCCCACTTTGGTGTGGAACAATTTGACCGACCTGCACAGAGCCCTGAACGCAACCTCATCCAACACCTTTGTGGTGACAGTATCTCCAAGTCAGTGCCAGACAGGCCTTTAAGTGACCGGCTGTTAAGTATAAAAAAATAAACAGAGAGAAACAACAGATTAAAAACGATACAAGCCATGTAAAATCAAAGAAAGCGCAGGATTCCTTACTCACCCACCGGCTGGAGAGAGAGAAATGAGTCCTGCCTTCTATTGAATGCGAAAGTATCTTAAAGCAGCATTCTTTCTACTGACCATCAGGGGGCGACTCCTTTATGGTCTCAATCTCTAGTTTCAAGTCTTCTTCAATACATCATGATGTTCATTGAGTAAATTATGGTCCATTTAGAGTCAAATAGACCATAAAGCAGCGTATGCTTTAGGGCGGGGCTACCTTGTGATTGACATGTCGCTACCATGACATTGGTAGCGACTGGGAGTTGCCCGTGTTTTTGTCTGACAACTTTAACCATCTGACAGTGTGTTTTCACTTTGCGAAAGTTAATTGTTAACAATTTGGTCGGCAAAAAATGGTTTATTCAGTGTTCGGATGTACTTAGCTCCGCCCTCTCTTGTCACTTCTGGTTTCAAAAAACAAGATGGCGACAGCCAAAATGCCAAACTCGAGGCTTCAAAACGACAGTCCACAAACCAAAGGGTGACGTCATGATGACTATGTTCACTTCTTATAAACTTTACAGACCCCTGACATAGTTTTCGTCCAGTAACAATGAGCAGAGCTGTGACTAGTTCCTGGATACATCTATGAAGGACCAGGGGCGTTTCTAGGATTCAAAGAAAGGGGGGGCTTAGCCCCAAGGGGAGTGGCATGTTTGCGCGCAATTGTTTTTGGGGCCCATTTGGGGCTGTGGATATCCATTGTTTCAGACAGTTCATAGATTGGTTCAATCAGAAAGAGTGTGATTTTGCTCTGTAGTTTTGCTTGCATTCAGTATATGATAACACAAGAGACAGAATTTGAGGGTCATAGTGAAACTTGACAACACAAATATGAACTTTTCTCAAGTAAAGAATATCCGCGTCACTCCCAAATCCTAACTCTTAAAGGGACCGCACACAATGGATGGAGAATGGACCTGACAGTGTCAACTTTATATCGTTAAGTATGATGATAGGCTATTGGAATGTAATTTGAAGGGGGAAAAAACATACAAACCAGAACGCACGCACATATGTAGCATGTGAGAGTTATAAATAACTTGTCCATGTGAGAAACAATAGTTTAATTTAATGACATCACCAAAATAAAAATATATATTTTTTCTTTTTTTTTTTTTAAAGCCAATAATGCCAAATTATTTGGGGGGGCTGAAGAACATTTGAGGGGGGCTTCAGCCCCCCTAAAATAGGCCTAACGACGCCCCTGTGAAGGACTGTGACAGGTAGTATGTCCTACCTCACTAAAATGATGTGAAAAGCCTTCTAAGAAGTACTGAGACTGTTAAAGCAGCTATACGTGCTCATGGTTTTGTAATTAGATGGCAAACAATCACATACAATTGCAAAGTTCAGACGTTCGCATTATATGTTTGTTTTGGGCATACGTATGTTGTAAATACCACACGTTCTGTCACTCATCCATCAGGACATTTATACATATTACTGCTCCAGATAAAGGACACTGATCTTGAGGAGAATATCAAAAATAGATTATTTTTTTCTTATTCATCAATCGTAAACATCAAGCTTCAGTCCTTCAGAGTTAGAGAACAATGGCTCCTTTCTAATGCTGACGTTTGGCACCAATATTTGAGAATCAAACAAATGCAATACTGTCCTCTGACAGTACACCAGGGAAATGAAGCCAAACTCATATCTCTTCTACTCTAATCTATTTTTGCTAATGATATTTGTCTGTCTACTTACATACAGTAGAACCAATGGCAATTATTACTGTGTTTACACACACAACAACAAAAGCAAGACAACGGCCAAGCATGGAAGTGTTCTCTGATGTAGCTATGTTGTTATATATCACTGGGAACCGGCTCACGGCATTATTTGAATGGAACGGAACAGGGTGAACCAAGAACATATGATTGGTCGACGCTTCACCCCGTCATTCAAACACTGAAAAAACAGTGTCAGTTTGTAGCTTCATGTCACTGTCACTGCAGCGTTAGTTCATGCCTCTTCTGTCGTTGGTGAAATGTAAGAGGTTGTAAAAAACTTTTGGAAGACATTTAACATCAGTGAGTCACGTACTCTAATGGTGAAAGAGAACCTAAATAATTAAAAGGCAACCTGGGCGCAGAGAAAATAATTGTCAGTAAGCTTCTTTTAATACTTCCCATTGGCTCCAGAGCAGCAGATGTTTCTTAGCGTAGAACAGCTTTGAGAGCATTATATAGTATATTTCCCAGAATACACTGTAATATGGTGAAAAGGCCTTTTCACTACAGTTGTGATAGAACACCAAAATGCGGCGTTAAGTTGCCAGGCGAATGGACTGTGACTGGATTTTCCTCGTCTTGACAGACCTCGGAAAACATCCGAACTCACTTCATCTGTGAGGATTTTCTGCATTAGTGCAGTAAACAAATCTCATTATATATGGTAATGTATACGTGGGAAATGGGATCCTTTCCAGTCACAGCCATTGTTAATTACCATAGTTCCTAGCATGCATTTCATTTAAGAAAGCCTTGTTTAGATACACATACAGAATGCTATAGAGGTTTGGATCCCTTCCCAACACTCTCCCCATTCAAACCGCACCAGAAGGACTGAACCTGTAAACCTGCTCTCAACATACAGAGTAAATGGAAGCAGACATTTACATGCTGAACTCACTGTTTTATACGTCAGAGCAGTCAAACTAAAGTTCTACCTGCATAAATAGTCGGTGCTACTTTTGCCAAGTGTAGCTTTATGGCCTTTGAGGAAATGTGTGTCTCAAAATGCTCATGCCTCCATAAATGGTTAAAACGCAAGCCAGCCACAGGGAAAACCTGCGGCCCTCCGAAAGAACAGACGACAGACGTATCTGAGCAATAACGCTAAAGCAAACGTCAGTATCGTGGACATTCTCAGTATATCTTCGTGACCGCTAGGCTAAACAATCAGAGAGAAGTTTACACAGTCACGCTGTCCCCAGATGCTGGAACCAGTCCAAAAGGGGGGAAAAACAAACCGGTGCGTGTGTGTGTGCCTGCCTTTGTGTTTGTCTAATGGCGTGCAATCGCGACTGAGTGCACTTCAGTGTGCGCATGGTCGTCTGCCGGCGGTCTGTGTGCTGTACAGGGGTATACCTTTATAAGGACGCTGGAGGGGCCGGTTGACCTTTTGGGCCGCACGGTTCAAATGCAGAGGCGCGCCCCCTTTCCATCCACTCATTCAGGTCGCTGTCGAAAGCCGTCCCTTGAAGCTAAATGAAAGATCCCTCAACAATAGGTGCCGCCAAGTGCTTTCTTTGTTTGAGTAGTAACCCCCCCCCCCCTTTTTTTTTTACCCCTTTCTTTCATTCCTTCTTCCTCCCACTTACTCTCCCTGTCACTTTTGTCAATGATTGTTCCAGTTTTTACCCACAATGCTCCTCTGGAGAGGAGGGTGAATAAATCCATCCTGCGTGGGCTGAGATGTCAGACATCTTCCTGCCCTGGCTGTGAAGTGTCTGTCTGCTGTTTTATTGAGGCGGGAAATTTACTGGGAAATAAAGTGATGCTCAGACAGGTGCAGGAGTCCCTCTCACACTGAGTTACAGCTCAAGAAATACAAATAAAACGTGTGCAATGGAAGTTTCGCTGCCGCTGCTGGGCGGAGAGGTAATGAAAGTATTTGTGTGTGTCTGTAGGAGGACGAAGTGTGTTTGTGGTAATTAACAGTGATAATTTACAAGCGCTTTACGTGTGTGTTTAGACTTGTTTCCCGTGTTTATTTTCCGTATCCGTCCGGGTGTGCTTCATCTAAAGTGTGAAGTCAAACAGCTCCTCATTTGCTAACTTTGTGTGCCGGCCTCTTGTCACTTGATGGTAAGGCAGACTTTCAGCTCACACTTTTCAGTCTGTTTCCTTGAGTACATGTTTCATCATGTGTCCATGTTTGAAATACAGTTATCCCCTTTCTCTCCCCTTATGGGCCGATCACGCCGAGACTAGCGTCGCTAGAAACCGTTGTTTTCCTATTGCCGCGTTTTTCAGAGTAAAAAGTAAAAGAAAGTACAAAGTATTTCAAAGTAAAAATTAAAAAAAGTAAAAAAGTAAAAATATTCTCAACTTTTAAAACTTGTCGTACCGCTCGTCAATGTCACAATTGACAGAGGCAGCCAATCAAATCAAGCAAGAGGCGGGCTTTACTTCTCTACCACTGACTTCCTGTTTATATACCAGTTGTTGGGGTTGGAATTGGCATGGGTTGGCATTGATGTTAACGATAGTTAACTATGATCAACAATATCATTTTCCCCTTCTCTTCATTCAACAACAGAGCTCAGTGTCTGCATTAAATCAATTTTCCGCTGTTATTTACATTTGATTGCCTGGTTG